GGTAAGTATTATATTATAATTTAACTTTTACAACACAAAATAAACATCATCTAATTAAATAATTTGTTTTTTATTTCTTTATAATAACCAGGGCGTAAGTATTATATTATAATTTAACTTTTACAACACAAAATAAACATCATTTGTTTTTTTATTTCTTTATGATAACCAGGGCGTAAGTATTATATTATAATTTAACTTTTACAACATAAAATAAACATCACCTAATTAATTAATTTGTTTTTTTATTTCATAGATTGTAAGCATTATATTATAATTTAACTTTTACAACACAAAACAAACATCATCTAATTAAATATTTTGTTTTTTATTTCTTTATAATAACCAGGGCGTAAGTATTATATTATAAATTAACTTTTACAACACAAAATAAACATCATCTAATTAATTAATTTGTTTTTTTATTTCATAGAGGGTGGGTATTATATTATAATTAATTTTTACAACACAAAATAAACATCATCTAATTAATTAATTTGTTTTTTTATTTCATAGAGTGTAAGTATTATATTATAATTTAACTTTTACAACACAAAATAAACATCATTTAATTAATTAATTTGTTTTTTTATTTCTTTACAATAACCAGCTGGTGAGTATTATATTATAATTTAACTTTTACAACACAAAATAAACATCATCTAATTAATTAATTTGTTTTTTTATTTCATAGAGAGTAAGTATTATATTATAATTTAATTTTTACAACACAAACATCATCTAATTAATTAATTTGTTTTTTCATTTCTTTATAATAACCAGTGTGCAAGTGTTATGTTATAATTTAACTTTTACAACACAAAATAAACATCATCTAATTAAATAATTTGTTTTTTTATTTCTTTATAATAACCAGTGTGTAAGTATTATATTATAATTTAACTTTTATAACACAAAGTAAACATCATCTAATTAATTAATTTGTTTTTTTATTTCATAGATTGTAAGTATTATATTATAATTTAACTTTTACAACACAAAATAAACATCATCTAATAAGTAAATTTATTTTTTAACCAGATTGTAAGTATTATATTATAAATTAATTAGGGAATTGTTACTTGCACCCCTCCCGTGACTAAGACCAATAAAATCATCACATTTTAAAGCCATTCATTGGTCGTTTACTACACTTAGTCATGGGAGGGGTGTGAATAACAAAAGTGGGAGGTGCGAATAACAATTCTCATTAATTATAACAACTAAATAAAATTAATTTTTATTTCTTTATAATAACCAGCTGGTAAGTATTTTATTGTATTATAAATCAATTTTTATAATTTTTATATCTAATTAGTTTATTTTTATTTATTTATAATAACCAGCCGGTAAGTAGTATATTATAAATTAACACAAAAATAAATTTTATTCAAACATCATCTAATAAATCTTTTTATAATAACCAGGGAGTAAGTATCATATTATAAAATTAACTTTTACAACACAAAATAATTTTTATTATAATATCAATTAATAAATAAATTTATTTTTCTTTATAATAACCAGCATGTAGGTAATTTTTACAACATAAAATAAATTTTTATAACATCATCTAATTAAATATTCTTTATTTCTTCATAATAACCAGCTGGTAAATATTATATCATATTATAAAATAACTTTTACAACACATTGTCTAATTAAATAAATTATTTTTTGCATTTATAATAACAATTGAAGGTAAAATAATTTATAAATTTATCTTTTTTATAACCTTTAAATGAATGTCTATTTTTATTATGTTGAAAAATAATTCTATTCTATTTTTAATTTTATAATGAATAATAAGATAACACTAAGGGGTTTAAAGAAAGAAAAGAAGAATATGGAACCTGTATTGTTTGTGCAAGATATAATACTAATTACCAGTGGTGTCAATCATGTGATCCCAAATTGTTAGCTCAAAGTTGGACTA